TTTTTTTTTTAATCAGAAGAAAAGACTTTAATGCCAAAGAGTTCATGTTAATCATTTTGTATTATCAAGAATAACATACTTAAAACTAATCACTAATTTCTAGACAACTTCAGAAAAGAAAATATTCTGTGAGGGTACATTTTGCCCCTATATTCAATATGATTTGTCATGCCTAAAAATATTCCACAGAGCATTGATCCTTTATGTGAAAAAAAAAAATTGATCCTTGTAAGTGGAATTTAATAAGAGAAAATGGTTGGCTATGGAATTAGGTCTACTGAATTCACATATAGCAAAGTGGAGCCATGTTCCACAAATGACTTGACAATAAGAAGCATATCAGAAAAGAGAACTCAATTGGCTTTAAGTAAGTTATATGCATCCCTTTTCTTCTTTTTCACCTTGGCACGAATCGAGATGGGGATATCCTGAAGAACAGCAGCTTCAGTGTAACTGCTTTCGTATTGTAGCCGCAAGTGACCTTTGATTTGGTTACGGACATCCCTCCCAAGTCTATTTCTGTTCATATATTTGATAAGGTCTGTCATTTTATCCCTATATCTTTCTGTCTTTGATCCTTTCACAATTAGTGCGGTCATATTACCAATCAAATAAGCACCGAGAATCATGTCAAAAGAGACATAAAACATTATGAATATCATTTCTCTGAGATTGACCGCATGTATTTCCCCATAACCTGTATGAAAAGAAAACACTCATTTAGCATAATGGAAGACTCCATTATGATGATAAAAATATAAAGTTAGTTGGACTGTGTAGAAAAAGACTTAAATATATTACGCCAGCAAATAAAAGCAAAAGGATCACATTAACGTTATTATATCCCGCTGAAGAACTTGTGCAAAAGGTATGCAAGATGACTCTGTATTTCTATCTAATTATTGCATTCATGATGACAAAGAGCAGTTTGTACTTCATATTATTATCAATTAACCCCCCCCCCNCAATTCTACACGAGTTAGAAATAATGCAAGGTAAGTAGAGGAGATTTACAGTAGACACTGGTCCCGACAACTAGGTAATGTTCAAATCAAATAGTTGTATTGATGACCCTCGATATCATCCAATTATCAACTTTCTATTTCTTTTTTTTTAATCAGAAGAAAAGACTTTAATGCCAAAGAGTTCATGTTAATCATTTTGTATTATCAAGAATAACATACTTAAAACTAATTACTAATTTCTAGACAACTTCAGAAAAGAAAATATTCTGTGAGGGTACATTTTGCCCCTATATTCAATATGATTTGTCATGCCTAAAAATATTCCACAGAGCATTGATCCTTTATGTGAAAAAAAAAAATTGATCCTTGTAAGTGGAATTTAATAAGAGAAAATGGTTGGCTATGGAATTAGGTCTACTGAATTCACATATAGCAAAGTGGAGCCATGTTCCACAAATGACTTGACAATAAGAAGCATATCAGAAAAGAGAACTCAATTGGCTTAGAGTAAGTTATATGCATCCCTTTTCTTCTTTTTCACCTTGGCACGAATCGAGATGGGGATATCCTGAAGAACAGCAGCTTCAGTGTAACTGCTTTCGTATTGTAGCCGCAAGTGACCTTTGATTTGGTTACGGACATCCCTCCCAAGTCTATTTCTGTTCATATATTTGATAAGGTCTGTCATTTTATCCCTATATCTTTCTGTCTTTGATCCTTTCACAATTAGTGCGGTCATATTACCAATCAAATAAGCACCGAGAATCATGTCAAAAGAGACATAAAACATTATGAATATCATTTCTCTGAGATTGACCGCATGTATTTCCCCATAACCTGTATGAAAAGAAAACACTCATTTAGCATAATGGAAGACTCCATTATGATGATAAAAATATAAAGTTAGTTGGACTGTGTAGAAAAAGACTTAAATATATTACGCCAGCGAATAAAAGCAAAAGGATCACATTAACGTTATTATATCCCGCTGAAGAACTTGTGCAAAAGGTATGCAAGATGACTCTGTATTTCTATCTAATTATTGCATTCATGATGACAAAGAGCAGTTTGTACTTCATATTATTATCAATTAACCCCCCCCCCAACCAAGTTATCCTTTGCGAAGACATTTTTTCACATGAAACTATGTAAAATATAATAGTAGATGGTGCGAACAACTCTGTTCATGCTCTTTCTTTCTAGCATATTGATGGAGATCCTGTAGGAGTTGGTTAAATATTGTATATTGATTTTGGCAGTTATCTATTTATCCTGGATATTGGTTAATAATCATCTTTTAGAGGTAAAGTTATGTTAGGACTTCGGAGTCTTAAATTTAGTGATTGGTTTCCCTATAAAAAGGGATTGAATTAAGGAGTTTTTAGTGGAGACTTTGATTAATTACTGTCCCTTCTTAATTCTTCCTCTTTCTTTTGATTCTTTTCTTCATCTTCTTTCTTCTCCCAATTCCTTTCTTCCAATCAACATCAATTGGTATCAGAGCTATTAGATCTACATCACACACATTCATGCTTTAATTGCTATTAATCAAATGTTATGGAAGGGTATCAAGCCAAAAATTTCAAGAGCAAATTCCAGCAGAAGAGATGTAAAGGAATGACCAGGTTGCTAAAATAAATGCTCTCTTTTAGATATTTACCTTCATTTGAATTGTGAGTACCTGTGCATAAGCAAATACTTTGCTCTACCCAAGGAAGCTCAATCTCTGGTTTCAATGGGTCACACCATACACTCTTGGCTCCCATGATCATTTTAATACACGGGCACACCAGTTACTAGTAAGAAGATTTCATGGTATCACTCACAGGTAGTCCTTCAGTAAAACTATGAAGCACCACCATTAACAAAACACCACTAGCACCATTACCAATTACAATCACTGTCACCTATCCATCCCACTCCTCTACCGCCTTTCCAGAACTATGTAACCTCCAGAAGACAACCAGTATCATAACTTCCATGTCACTGCCAGTATTGCTGCTTCATCCAAAATGTCCCTGATCTGCTTCTTGCTTTGACAATCCTTAGAAACCATACCCAACCCGAAAAAAGAGGTTCATGGTCGTACTTCAATTAAGTTCTAACTCAATTCAAACAACTTGTGTGTTTCATGGTTTGAAATACCAATCCTCTTAAATGAAAATCTAGAGGTCAGCTACAATGATGCAAATGCAGCATACGATATCGTAGCCATTGCAATCACTTTCAAGGTTATGTTTCTTCCATAAGAAGAGGCAAACCACTAGGCTGCAACCACATAGAAGGCCAAAGTACTGTGAACCTTAGTCTGGAATCTTGTATTTCAGTCTTTGGTAGACAATCAACAAGCTCAAGAAAAATCAGCAAGTAAATAGTCTCAGGAAGACTTCATAAGATACAGATGTTTGTATCTTCTCGTTGTATTCATGTGAGGTTTCACAACATGTAATATCACAATTACAGGCCTGTCAATATTCCCTAGAGCCAAGGATCAAAATTTCATTTCGGTGCATTGTTTCGGTCACCTAGGAAATAGAAACGTTTCGACGTGCTTTAGAAACTTTTTGTCCCGTTTCGGAAACAAAATGAAAAAAATAAAAATTTAAGAATTATTTTTCCAAAACATTAGTCAAAATATACTAAAGTATCTTGAAATATCTCGAAACATTCCAAAATTATTGTGCAAATGCATTGAAACATTATAAAATATCTTGAAATATTATGAAACACCTCGATGTATTAGAATTTCGATTTCATCACTGATTCATTTTGGTCTCCTTCGAAACGAAAATATTTATGATGTTTTAACCGTTTCGAAACGAAATTTGATCCTTGCTTAGAGCTGTCTTATGCATTTTATCACAAGAAAACAAATGTAATGAACCAAGAGTACTTTTGCAGCAAGAAAAGGACTTACCAACAGTTGCCATAGTGGCAATGGCAAAATATAGCGATGTTGTGTATCGCTTCCAGATATCAATCTTTCTAAAGTGTGAATAACTAAAATCACCCAATTTTAAACTCCCAATCCATGTGTATCCTTCTTGCTCAGGAGGCAGAGTGGTGGCTAAGTAATAAAAGATGCAGGCTGCCGTATGCGTACAATAGAGTTCAACCGCGAGGAGTTTCACAATTCTAGTAAAGAGATAATTGATCCGTATGTCCTTTTCCATTTTATTCAAAAAACCAGTAACTTTTCTCACCCGACTCAGCCTAATCCATAGAAGGTATCTCAGTTCTTCTTTTTCTCCACAAGCCTGATTAAAAAAATCCAGTTAGAATGATGATCTTATGAAGTATTCAGTGTATGCTAGAGATCAGATAATTCAAAACTTACAGACATAATGGTAAGTACGGAAAACTTATCCCATTATGGTGCTGGTCTCAGCTAAAAATAGGATTCTTCTTATATACACAAATATAATAAGTGATAGGACAGTCACATGAATAATCTTGCCACTTCTTAAGATACACATCCCAACCAACCCCTATGAGAGAATAAGAAAGGAAAAAGAAAAAGAGTAATAATAAGGAAAATAATTATGAACAGGCTGATGTCAGTTTGTTGGCCCCTATACGAAAAAAGGATAGGCGGAGCCAGGATTTTAACTAAGGATGGACCAAATTATGAATAAAGTAATATACCTTATAAATGCAAGCATAAGAAATATATTGAGAATAAAAACTAAATACCTACAAGAAACCTAAATCTAGCATCATTTGCCTTCACAGGATATGAACAAAATAAAAAGGCACAAAATCCTTGCGCCTTGGTGTGTTGCAACTCAATTGCCTCTTCAAAATGGAGTTCACCATTCTTTCAAATTCCGCAAATCGTCTCTAATTGACTCTCCGTTAAATTTGTACACCCCCATATATTTATTATAATAAATATTGTGTACCATGTGTTGAATGAATATANTCCATCACTGATTCATTTTGGTCTCCTTCGAAACGAAAATATTTATGATGTTTTAACCGTTTCGAAACAAAATTTGATCCTTGCTTAGAGCTGTCTTATGCATTTTATCACAAGAAAACAAATGTNTTCATCACTGATTCATTTTGGTCTCCTTCGAAACGAAAATATTTATGATGTTTTAACCGTTTCGAAACGAAATTTGATCCTTGCTTAGAGCTGTCTTATGCATTTTATCACAAGAAAACAAATGTAATGAACCAAGAGTACTTTTGCAGCAAGAAAAGGACTTACCAACAGTTGCCATAGTGGCAATGGCAAAATATAGCGATGTTGTGTATCGCTTCCAGATATCAATCTTTCTAAAGTGTGAATAACTAAAATCACCCAATTTTAAACTCCCAATCCATGTGTATCCTTCTTGCTCAGGAGGCAGAGTGGTGGCTAAGTAATAAAAGATGCAGGCTGCCGTATGCGTACAATAGAGTTCAACCGCGAGGAGTTTCACAATTCTAGTAAAGAGATAATTGNCATGTTGCATTGTTACAGTTGTTGTTGGAGAGCTATTCACTGCGCAAACAGTCCTGCAAGAATCCCATCGTCTAACCCAATCTTTAAAATTACACAAACAGCCCCAAAGTTCAAAATTACAGTTTGTCCCCAAAAAATTTTGAAATTATAGTTTGGTCCCTAAAGTTTTAGAAATTATGATTTACACCAAAATTTCTAAAATTACTGATTGACATCAGAATTTTCAAAAAAAAAATTCTTAAAACTCTCTTCCAATTAATATAGTTCTCAACCTTGAGTTAAATGCTAAAGTAGAGGCTTTATCCCAAGCACATCATAATTCACAAAAAGTCATGAATGCCAGACTATATACAATTCAAGCATCCATCAATTCACTGAAAGAACTTATACTCGCTACAGTTTGTGAAACCAAAACAAGTGAAGATTTCAACTTTGTCTCTTCAACTGTCAATCAAAAAGTGATTGAACACGACCCTCCAGTTATACCACAAGTTCTACCACCACAAATTCTACCACTACAAGTTTCAATCCGATTGAAAGGCGATAAACTGAAGTTATTCAATGTTGATGAGCCCAAAAGTTCTACTTCTACTCATCCTACAACAATTGTTTTTGATAAGCCGATTACAAAGGGTATTCATACATAAGAAGTTAACAAGTTTCAAGCGTGATTTTTTTTAGATGGGGTTGCTACTTTTTTGTCAACATCATCACCATCGTTTTATCTGGAATAAAGTGTGAAGATTATGAAGATTTGAGATATAGATTCTTTCCATTGTGATATCTTATATTATGTCATTGAAGGGAGATCTTACTTCTAAGCTATTAGGTTTGAAAATGTGTTTCACCGTCTGATGTCAATTCTCTTGGAGTATTCTTGCTACAACAACTCTTTAGAGAAGAGTTTTTTTTTGGCCAGGGAGACTTGATAGAGATCGAAAAAAGATTAAATGAGCTTAAATTTAAGAATTGAATTTTATTATTTATTTTAGTATTATTTTATTAATTAAGAAATATTTGTTTGACTATGAGTATTAATTAAACTTTTATTAAAAAAAATATTATAGAGTTTTAGTAGTATAGGAGTTTGAGAGTTTGTTTATGAACTCTATTAGTATTTTAGTAGGAGAGTAATTTTTATTTTGGTCGAGGACTTGTCTTATAAATATCGATGTAATCCTCACTATTTTTATTAGAGAGTGATATAATAAAAAGTGTTTTTCTGTGGAGAATTTAATGTGTTTCTTAACCGATTCTTGCGAAAATAAGGTAAACCCCTTCTTTCTTCTTCTCATTCCATTCTCTAATTCTAGTCCTTCCCGTCCTACATCCTAGGATGATTATATATGTATGTTTTGACTCTAAATCATAGATATATGATAGATAATCATTGAATCGTGTTTTCTTACAAGTTATGTAATGTTTTTGAATGAGGTCTATGTTTTATATTCATGAAACTATCATTTTTGTTATCAAAACTCTAGACCTCGAGAAGTATAGGTTTTATACATGATGTTCTCTTGTTCTTGATTTGAAAACTCTAGTCTTTGGATTTGAACAATAAAATTATGTTTCTTGATGATCTCTTGCATGTTTCTTGAATCGTTCGTTCGGAACACACTAGTAAAATTATGGTACTTGAACTACACGTGTTTTTGAGGAATTGATTTACAATATTATTTTGAGGAATTGATTTACAATATTATTATCTCTTGTATGGGCGGTTTGATGCATATGGGTGACCGTCTTTATAGCACGGATACTTTCAAGAAAGTGATGTATCCGTGTCGAACACCAATACTCCTCGGACACGTGTCTATTACTCTTTTATCCGTATCCATAATTAAATAAAAATATTTTAATTCGAATACGTGTCCAACACTTCTTTAGACACAATAAACATGTGTTGAAATGCGATTACTAAAGCTCAAAATTTGACTAATAAGTATCTTATACTATGAAAGAACATATAATTACCAAAGCTAAACATGTTAAAGTTGTACTCAAAATATAATAACAAAATCAAAAGATAAATAAAAGATTTAGAACAAAAGTAATTGAGAATATGAGAGCAATTGTTTAAATTATATTTGTTTAGCACACATTTACGAAAAAAATGGATGATTATTGACTATTATGAAGTCTAAAAAGTCATGCTAGATGACTAAACATAACATTTATTATCATAAAGTATAGATTTTCTTTTATGAATAATATGTCATTATCACTATAGTTGTGATCATAGTTGTCAAATCGTGTATCGGAAGGTGTATTATTTTTTAAAAGTAGTGTATCGTATATCGTAAGATACGCGTAATTTTAATATTTAAATAATTATTAATAAAATATATGTATATACCTTTCTAAAAAGTCATAGACTCATAATAACATAGTATTTCATTAATATTCTACCAACTATTCAAGTTTCTAACATAATTCAGTAATATCAAAATACAAAGACCTATAACTTAAGTTTCTAACATCAACTACTTGAACAATTTTAATATTAATCAGGAATTTTGAATTCAATTGAACAACATTAACATTAGACTTTATTTATTTATTTATTTTAAACTATAACTATTGAAACGACGTTGTTTTACTAGCTAGTGATTTAAAAATAAGTCTTACGATAAAATGATGTCATTTGAACCCCAAAAAACAAAAAAAACAGAATCGTCACGTATCGTACATATCGGGCGTATCGTATCGTGTATCGTACGATACAGTGCAAAAACGATACAGAAACACAATACGTAACATTTTTTAGGTGTATCGTGACTTATCGTACGATACAAATCGCATATCGTACAATACTAATAACTATGATTGTGATAAATTATATAATTTAAAATTTAAAATATAATTATTTTTAGCGTGTCCCCAATGTGTCCATGTCCTACATTTTTTAAAAATATCGTGTCTGTGTCGTGTCATATTTGTGTCTCGTGTCCATGTCCGTGCTTCTTAAGTAACTGTTGACCAAGTATCATAGAGTACGTATATGCATTTCTTACCCTGAGGGATTTGAAGGTTCTCTACCACTCGTAATGGGTTGGTGCTTAGCGAGAACCAAACTGCTATTCGCTCACTAGTATCGAGACTGGGAGTTAGTATACTATTCTTGGGTTGGATTCGTTACTGGGCAATGTGTTAGTATACGTCATTCCTAAGTTGTGTATCCTTTTGAAGATTAGGTATGTGAGTGTTGGTCAGGATATTTTCAATGTATATATTCATGCTAAGTCTACTTACATACCTTTTTGAGGTCAAGGGTTCAAGTTCCCTTCCCCCCTCCCCCTCCCCCCCCCAAAAAAAAAA